TGAAACTGAGACTTGCAGGACGGAGAGGTTGCACTGGTGTTCATGTCTGCTCTGCCTCTGAATGCACACCCCTTCCTCCTTGCAGTCCAGGGGTGATGTAAACACTCTTCCCCCCAGTTTGGAAACTGCTCTTTTAAGGACATGGAAGAAAAATAATTGTACCATCAAAGCTGCTAGATATCAGCAGGGATTACAGCGGGATATGTGGAGGGGCTCATACATCCCTGCCCGGAGAGGTAAACCCTATATACACACTTGTACTAGCAAGGTCTGTCTTCGCTGGGGTTAGACAGGCTCTTCCAGTTCCTAATCACAAGCCCACTTGAGCTGTTAGCAGTTCCTTTAAACAGGGATTTGGTGTGTTTAGGCTGACTGTCCTCCTTGAGAGCAGATGGTTTTTGTTACTGGATAATATTTCAAAGGAAAGGGGTTTTTCTCTTTTTTCTGTAATGCCCCCTCTGGTGCTGGTTTATCGAGCTGGCACGGGGAACATGCATGCTGCACGGGTGCAGGAGCCTGCCCTTCCCCAGGCTGGAGCTCGTTTGGTTCATCAGTCGGTGTGATGGATATTGGGTCTGAGCACTCCTGGTTCCTGTTTTGGAGCTTGCTGAAAACTATTTAAAACCATGTAGCGGAGAAGCCAAGTCACCTCCTTTCCCTGTGACTGATAGCATCCACTTCTGGAGTGTTCCCGACTTTGGGGTCCTTCCCTGCAGCAGGGAGGCAGCAAGCCCCTTCATCTGCCTCTCCAGCCTCTCCTCTTCTTCTTGCTCTGCCTTCTCCAAGCCTTTCGATCTCCTTTTCTTGGCAGCCCAATGACCCGGTGACGAACATATGCCAGGCAGCAGACAAACAGCTCTTCACCCTGGTGGAGTGGGCCAAGAGGATCCCCCACTTCTCCGAGCTGCCCCTGGACGACCAGGTCATCTTGCTGAGAGCAGGTGAGTGGGAACTGTCCCCGTGCAGGCTCTGGCACGGGGCTGTAGAAGTGCTACATCTCACCGGTGGGATTAGACTTAGATTTAGGTCCCGGCAACTTGAAAGCCATTAACCTATTCTGAGTAATAGCCTCTGATAATTCAATTGCTAAATAGGATTTTAAAAGACCCAAGGGACGTGTTGCTGAATGTGATCCAAAATGTTGCACCAGCTGCCAATCAGCTGAAAAATGGCCCGGCTTCGTCTCTGATGAGTGAGGCGCTCGGAGATGTGCTCTGGGTGATGTAAACCAAGGGAGCTACGCTCTGCCTTCCTCCCAAACTGAGACTTGAAAGACCAAGTGGGCTTGGGACTCCACGAAATTTCATCAAACTAAAATGTTTGATCATAATTAAAACCAGAAGGGGGAGAAGAATATATCGCCCTCCCTCTCCCACCCACCAAGATGAAAATAAAATTCTCTGGGCTTATTTTAAATTTCCTTGTGCGGCAGGGGGTCTGCAGGAACGGAGGCTTTGGGAGGTGAAAAGCAGTTAGCTGTGAAAAGGGTCTTCTCCCGTTGAGTAAGTTCAAGCCCCTACCCCAGGCAGGTTCTCTGCAGGGACTGGGGAGGGCAACAAATCAAGAGCAGGGCTCCACGAGGGTGCGTTTTAGGCATGAAGCTCTTTGCGTGGCTCCAGTCGTCAGGTAAGTGATTAAAAAGGCTTTGGCTTGATGCAGTGGAGTGTTTTGCTCCCTTAAACAAAGAGGAAGGCAAGTTGTCAGTGGGACACGTGAAGCTGCTTCCAGGAAATGACAAACTCCATGTGAAGGGTGAGACTGGGAGAGGAAATGAGGAGACCCTTGATGTCTGGTGGTGGCACCCAGCTCTCTGCTTGGCAATGAGAGACACCAGCCTTGGCTACTCAAAGTAGTCAAGGGAATCCAAAAGGGAATGATGGAGGAGTCTGCTGCAGAGCAGAGGTGCAGCCTTAGAGCAGGGCGTGCTGGTGAGCTGCCTGGAGTGAACCAGTCTGGCGGCCAAACCCAAGTAAGCCAGGGACTCTAAAAGTTCCTCTTGTTTCCCCAAAATGCACTTTTGTAGGGAATTTGCGAGGGGAAAACCCTGCAGGGTGTGTGCTTCTCTCTCTGTTCTCTTCTGGCCTTGGGTTGATGGCCTCTGTAGACACACTTCTTGCGAGATCCACCTTGATGGCAGCGTTCCTGGCTTCTTCCTGTAAAAAGTGTGTGCCCCAAAATAAACGCCCATGAATTTGGGCAGCAAAGTGCTTTAACGTGTTCACATCAACACAACTGCAAGGTGTTCGTGTCAACGCAAAACACAGGAACTGCCAGAACTCTTCTGGTCCAAGGTCTGTCCAGGTTGCTCCAGGAGAAGGTAAAAGGGCTCCAGAGTAGGAAGATGATGGGATGGGTGTTTTCCCCTTCCCACCACACAAGCACTAGCTGTCATTCTGTTTAATAAGGCTGACTGGAGCCCAAGTGCATGAATCTTAATACTTTCTGCCATTTTTTATTAACTCTCAACCACTGTAACTGCACACCTTGACCCTGCACACGAATACCCGGTCCCTCTTGCAACCTCTCTGAAATCCTTGACCTCCATGGTTTCTGGGCGATTAAGTCTCACCGTTCACTGGTGTAGGTTTTCTACTCTTCTTATATTACTGAAAGGAGATTTTTATAGTCACATTTCATCTAGTGGTTACAGCAGTAGTCTGGGAATGGAGAATTTGGGGATTTTGTTCTTGCTGCAGACTTGCCAAGTCCCATGCCCTCCCTGGGTGGCTCCTGCTAGCCCTTTGGTGAAGGTGCTCCTCTGACTTCTCCGTGGGTGTGAGTATTGCCAGAGCTGGCTCATGGCCTGCTCTGGAAAATACAGAAAGTGTATTTTTGAAGAGGGTCTCTAGAGCCTCTTGTGAGAGTGGATGAGCAGATGAAGCATCTCTGTAGAAATCTTTGAGAGCTTTCTGCAGATATCGCAGGGCAGAACTGGATTCAGACACAAAGCTGCCTTTTTCTTTTGTGAAATGGAAACAAAACCAACAACAACAGTTCAAGGTTTTCCTTTCTCTTTAGGAGAAGGCTGACGAAAGCTGAACTGGAGATTTTCTGACCTGATGTTCTCTCCTTTGTGCTGGTGTTCGTTACGACCAGCTCTGAGCTGGCATCCTGGAGAGGCCACACCACAGGGCAGGAGGAGAGGGGGCTGCAGGCTCCATCGCATCCCAGATTCCATGGTGGCTCTAACGTCATAGCCATGAGGTGGGCTGAGCACCTGGAGCAGCTCCGAGGGGCTCCCTGCTCCAAGCGTCTCTGTCGGGGCCTCAGATAACCTCCCCCAAGTCTTTTAACCAGTGACTCTATCTATTATTGAGTGGGGAGAGCGGCCTGCTGAGAACAGCTGCCCATGAAATATTTAAGTATTAAAATTTAGCTAAGAGCATCAGTCAGCTTCAGTCATGCATCCTTGGAGGCAAAATTAAGTGGAGCACTCATCTTTGGAGCAGCAGTGCTGGATGGGCTGGCAGTAGCTTTCCTCTAATCCTGAATCATTTAAAAATCTTCCCTCTCTGAGGTTTTTGGAGGAGAAGGAAACCCAGCTTTTTAAGCCTGTTTTCCCTGGATTTTCTTGTTTCCAAGCTTGCTGCGGCTGAGACAGGAATAACCTGATGTTTTCTCCGCGTCGAGGCCGGCTTGATAAAGGGTGCTGAGCACGGCATCCTCAGCAGCCGCAGTTCATTTTGTAGGGCTGGTGGGGAAACTTGGTGGTGAGGTGGATGAACGCAATGGTCACTGCGCTGCCAGGTGCCGTCCCTACCCCAGCGGAGCCAAAGCATCCCCGGAGGCTGCAGCCACCTTGTTTGATGAGAATGGAGCTGCAAGAGTCAAATCTGTTCTGCTTTTCCAGAGCTTGGGCTGAAGTGGGAAACTGCGTAGACTTGTGTGATCTCCATCTCAGATTTGCTGCCTGTGGTTATACCTAGTTTTTCCTGCTTGCCTCTTTATCTTTCTCAGCTTTTGGGGATGCTCTGGTGAAAGCACCGGGTAAAAATAGGTTCCCCTTTTCAGCCAGAACATCCCAGCTCTAAATGGGAATAATTCAGCCGAAGGATGTTGATTAATCCAGCGCTCCTTGGCTGGAATAAGCCCAGCACAGATGTCGGTGGCGCCTTGCAGCCTCACCACTTCCACGTATTCTTGGCAAGTTGGAGGACGGATTCGGCACCGCTGGGGCTGTGCGGAGCTGCAGCAGAGGGGTGTGGGGTGATGGCCGAGAGTCAGGGCAGCCTTGGGAAAGCTGGTGCCGTGGAGGGACGTTGGGAATCAGCTCTGGTTTCTGTTGGTTGGGGCTGCGTGGAGGGGCTGTGTGTGACAGCTGGTGGGAGGCACCCACGGCACCTCTCTGCGGGTCTGGCTCTGCGAGGTCCTCTTCAGCCACAGAGCGCGGATCCTGCAGGCTGCTGGTGCGGTCCCGCGTCTTCTGCTCCGTCCTCCTTGGGTTTCACAGTGTTGCAATCCCTCTCCCAGTGCCAGGCCTCGCCCAGTAAACAGCCAAATAAATGTTCCCGTGATTGGGGTGGAAACATCCTGTGGCCACTT